TGGCTGGCATCAAGGAATAGGCTGCCAGCCCCCTGCATTCTCAATCGGTTTTCATATCATACTGCAGAAAAGCAAAGATACACAGTAGTTCAATGATCAAACTCGATCTCTTTAGGAACAGGAGTTCCACACACACACACACAAACACACAAACACACACACACACACAAGCGCACGCGCACGAGCGCACGCACCCTTCGTGCAACCCTAGATGTACAGACTCCGGACCGGAAGCTGACAGTTCTCGGTCCCTGTGTGCTGCTGACGACTCTAAAAACGCTCTGCGATGGCGAGAGGATCGAAAGATGCTTGCCTTGCATGATATCTTCGTAATTAGGGTATCGGCAGGCCCAAGCGCAACCATCATCCGGTATGTACGGCGGCCTCTCCCGCAGCCATGGCTTTTGCCGAGATGCTTGTGAATGAGGCCATATCTGAGAAGAAGAGTGTCACCTGAGCTAGTTGGCCTTTTTGGCAAGCTGGCCTGGCCTAATCATGGAGAAGTGGGCAGTGGGAATGCAGGGCCAGATCCCGCCTGACATGTTGCACCTTGAAGGGCTCGGAATGCCATCATCGTCTAGGTCCTAGACTCCTAGACTCTAAGTGACGTTCAAAGCTTTGTTTTTCTCGTCAGTTTCGTTTGCTGATTGTGGTTTAGCCACCGCCCCGACAGGATGTCGGGGTTGCCGGCAGCAGAGTTAGCCTGTAGCACCGCACGAAGCACCATCACACCCGCTTGCCGATTTCCGGGTCTTCCAGCAGCGCTTCAAACCTCTGATATTTTGCCGACCATGAACCTCGGGACACCGATGGAAGTGAAACCTTATATTGATTACTTACCGTGCTGACAAGTTCGGTGCGCGAACCGGATCATCCGGGATGTGTTCATGCCTCAAGACGACATACCGCGCAAATTACAGCCGGCACTTTGGTAGCCTGCAAACTCGCAGAATTCATGTAATTCGCGACACCAGGATGCACGGTACTTTGACGTACTTTGTATTGCTGTCACGGCTAGCGAATTCCCTGCAATCGCAAGACCGTCCTCAAGGAGTTCCCCACTTCTCCTCAGGCCGAATTCGCATCTTGCTTCCCTTGCTGCCTTGTCTTCGTAATGTTGTGCTTACGCTCCTTGCTGCAGCCGCCGAAAACAAACGAAGCCCGAAGAGAACAGGCAGCCAAACGACAGCAAGCCAAAGCAAGCAACAAAAACACAAGAAACAACAGTTCAAAACACATCGCCATCAGCATGGCATGTAAACTGTTAGACACTTAGCCCTAAGCAACAGGACGACCACACCATCAAGTACCAGGAAACCAGGGGAACAAAGAGCACGAAAACAGTACAACCGTGCTCCTACTTCACCACAGCCACACTCACCAAGGCCAAGAGGCCTCTCGCTCTTCAATCTTGGGCCGAACCTCCTCTCCAGCGACAAGAAGGTTTTGCCTCAGCTCCCGCGTCTCCTCGATCGCTGATAAGATGGAACTTCAAGTCAACCATCAGAACTGTCAACTTTTTATTGCTTGATGTCCAGCTTCTGTAAATTTGCACGATTCTTCCAGACCTTGCCGTCGCTGCCTCCGAAGCATGAGCCCTTCCCCGCACGCGATCGCGCACCTGCGTGTCTCGCTCTCGGCCTCTCTCCCTCTCTCCCTCTCCCTCTCTTGCTTGCTTGCTCTCTCTCTCTCTCTCTCTCTCTCCCGAGCATGCTCAGCAGGTCCTGTCCTCTGCAACCCTCGTTTTCTGAACGGAGCCATTCTGAACATCAACTGTGCAACGGACTATGGACCTCAGAAACAAACCTTGCCCTGTAAAGACGAAATCCTGAAGCCACATTCAAGACTAGTTTGAGCTTCCTCGCACGCGCAATCGACGGACCTACGCTGCTAAGTCTGATTGACGATGCGGAACTTCCTGAAAGAGCCACAGGAAGGTCAAGCGGCACGACAGGCCATGGAACATACTTCCCCCAGGATCGGATAGCAACCTTCCTCAGGCATCAGATGTCTTCGGAGGAGCGGGGATCTCGAGCCGTTGGTCTGCCCGGGCTCTTGACGCTCTCCGGGGACGGGTTGGGGCAAGACCCGTTCGTTTGCACTTTTTTGGATCAGGTTACTTGGTCCGCTTTTTGCAAGATCTCTTGGAGGACGTGGAGCTCGCGAGCGGTTCAAGTGTGAACGTCAAGCAGTGAGTGGTCCGACCTCTGAACAGTGACACCGCACTTCTTGCTCATCGGACACAGTAGCTAGCAAAGTTCCCACCCCATGGCGGTCGAATCCCGATCTGTATGAGATTTTACTTAAATATACCCAAAACTACACTCACAAACTGCCCCTCGGAAGACCGAAACCTACAGCGACTGGAAAGTCTTCACGAAGGCTAAGTCCGTGACGTCTTCGAAAAAATGTGCCAGATGAGGCGAACCTCACCAGCATTCGGTTCCGGCGCTAGCCGTGGCACCGCCCAGCCATCAACATCCGTAATTAGCGAAGCTCGCGGCAGATCGAAACCAACCTGACAATATGCTGAGCCTTGAGCTTGCCCATGACCTGCCCCCCGTCCCGAAAACGAGCCTCTGCAGCTCCGCGCATACCCTGCGAAGGCACAGCGACAGGTTTAGGTGCCGTGACGAGTGCCGCTCTGGGTTGGCCACCGGCACTCGCAGGTGCAATGGAAGGGCTTTTTGCGAACATCGTGCGTGCGATGAAATCGAATCAAAACCAGTCACCTTTTCGGTGCGCAATCAATCCTAGCCTTTTTGTTTCACAGAGGACTCGACTGCTGCCCTTACTGCCCAGCTTGACCCACAAGACAGTACTCCCAAACTACTTCCAGAAATCTTCGTGACCCCAGGTGGCAAAACTGATTTATGTTTCAGCTCCAAGACGGTTTGCGGCTTGTCACACACCGGACTGTGTTCTGTCAGGTTGCCGGACGTGTGTGCGACAGCTTGTTTGAAGAGCGTTCATAGGACGTCAGGCGGATACTCCTTGATAGGCTTGGGATTTGCTTTTCGCGGTTTGATCTGCGCCACGGTTGCTTGACTTTGCAAACATGTACTGTAGAGTGGAATCTGGAACTAAAGTAGAAGGCTGGCAAATCACACATATGGATGTGTTGATTACACGCGGGCCAAACCCTGCAAAATAAGCTACACTCAGCTACTTGACCGAGCACAAACTACCCTCCATCGAACAGTAGTGGTCTTGGAATGAACGCATATGCCAACTTTGCCGCCTTGTCAGTGGTCACTGCAGCCAGCTGCAGCTGGGCCTTGATAGCCACTCTGTCTGTTGGATCATGGAAGTCTTGCGAGAAAGCTTTCGGTGTCGTCTTACAGTATCTTTCAAAATCACTGGATGATTCGGGATGATGTTCGCAAAAGTTACAAGTTGGGGTTAAGGCACCCTGATGCCGCATCGCTCCCATTGCGGACTTGACCTGCTGAATAATTGTCTGGTTGCAGGACCACAGCGTCGCCCCACTACTCTTTTTCGGAGGCTGCCGGCCACTCTCAGCTCTGCGTTTCTCCGACAGCCATGATGTCGACCAGGATGATCCAACATCCTTACGATCAGACGTCTCCAGGCAACCGCCATGGACCTTTGCTGCCCCCTCTTCAGTGCAGCCGTTCGGTGCTGCTCTGCTCACGGCGGCAAGCAGCTGACACCTCCGGCAGCATGCCGAAAACCGGGCAGTCGAATCTTGAAGCCTGGACTTGGGGCTGCGTGATCTACTGCATGGGTCTCGCTGGGGGAGGGCTCTTGGAACCTCTCCCCACCAACTGACTCGCTTGTCCAAGTAAGGCTGTGACAACCATCCTGGCCACAATTATCAACACAAGCCTTCTGATTAAAATGATCTTTGTGGGGAGCCAGGGGGCAAGCCTTACAATGCACCTCTCGAGGTGCCTTGGTGTGGATGCCAGGCACGGAAGTCCCGGACGAACACTGGAGGCACTGGATCTTCACATTCACGTTCAGGCAGTGGTGGTCAAGGGCGAGCAATGCAAGCAGCACAGCTTCGGCTTGAATCTTGGTCTAGGAGTGAGCTGGCGAAGCCTACACAGACAGAGTGATGGAACAAAGCCGCACGACTTCCCCACTGCAAAGCTACCCTCGGCGTGGCAGTGATGCAGGAGCAAGTACGCAGCCGAAAGCTTAGACCGCCTACACTTACTTCACAGATGTAACGGATTGACTTGCAGGGTCTGCCTGCACATCATGCTCATTTCCGGAAGTCAGACCACAAGCCGGAGGTGCTTGCCACAAATGTCTCTCTTCCTCATTGCCCAAAGCCTCCGTCCTGCGTCTTCCCAGACCCGGGCTTTGGTGGCATCCTTGTTTTCTACAGGCACACATGCGAGCCAATTCAGATCAGGGAGGCCGGCGGAGTGAGAGAAGATAAGGTAGCCTCGGATGTGCCGTTGGGTTGGCCAGGCTACAGCAACCGGTAGCTCCTTCAGTCATGGCCGGCTCTGTTCGTGCGAAGGTGGACTAGACACCAAGCACCGAAAGAATCGTGTCCAAGTGTCAACCGACACCGCTCAGCCTCGGCAGCAGAGAGATCCGAGCCTCAGACTAACAGATGCCGGTTTGACAGGAATTGGGCTTGCACTTGCCAACACAGGGAGACAGGAATGCATCCAGGCAAGCAGCAGCGCGGCAATGGCGACTTTACATCGCCAGGACCTCGTGGGCTGTTGGCAGCTACCCCACGGATGAAAGTCGACCCAAAACCCATAATGCTGTCCCCTTCTGCAGTACACGAAGTGTGCTTCTTCCACATTCTTGCAAGAAGAATTGTAACAAGGTTGCAGCGCATGAAATCGAAACGTTGAGCATTTTGCTCAGCCACCTTCCGAAGAGCTCATCTGCCTAGACATGCTGTTAGGTCTGAACTGCTTCAAAGCATATAGGTCTTGTGCCAGATCCTCTCGTATCTGCTTTTCGTTCGATGCCCACGTCGCAACCTTGCTTTCCAGTATCCAAGGCACGGAAGTACGTCGAAGGCAACACCAACTGGACCAAAGTGCTTGGTGGAAGAGCAACCTTTCCACCTGGAGTGTCGACAGTCTTCGGTGCTCAGACGGCATTGGGCGGCTGCAGAGAAGCAAGACCTCTCGCAGAAGCATGTGGTGGCGATGGTGATGATGATGGTGATCGCAATCGTGGGGATGATAATGATGATGACGATGACGATGACGATGGCGATGATGATGATGATGATGATGGTTATGATCATGATGGCGAAGAAGAGGTGGGCAAAGGTGGTGCCGATAAAGTAGTGCTGGTGTCGCTGCTGGCCCTGCTGGCCGCACACTCACAGGCTGTAACCGGAACTGAAGCAGGCAGTCAAGGCCTTGGAATGAAGCTACAGGGCATGAACGCCCAATGGCCTGTCACGACCACCTCTGCAGCCCGGCCGTCAACACCCGCCGGTCCTGAAGCTTTAGGCATGCTGAGCTATCGCCTTGGCCCATTTAAACGCTCCCTGAGTGCAGCTCCTGCAGGGTCGACGACACATATGCGGGGTGCTGCCGTGAGCGAGCCGCACGAGCCGGGAGGTGTAAATACCTCGCCAGCAGACGAAATGGACAGGCATTAGGTTCTGGGCAGATCTTCCGCCTTCGACAACACTCTGTTCTGTGCAGTGTTCCTAAACCGTCGGAAACGAAACAAACCTCGATAAGACCCAAGACATTTGTGTTTCAACATACGTTACAGATGCATTCCCGCAGACCAAAACCTTGTTAAGCCCTTTGTGTTTTGCATCTCTGGACTCAGTTTAATTTGAATGCATCATATGACAAATACTTGAAGAAGCGGAGGAAGCCCTTCCTATGTACACAGTATGTACATCAGTGAATCGTTGACTCAGGCCTTTGCACGTCATGCCACTCGCAGCCACGATGCCCAGATGCGTCCCAGTTGGGCTATGCAGGACGTAATGTTTTCGCGGCCTCCATGGGGCCAGGCTATGAGACGCAGACTAACACCGCATGCTGCTCCTCCTCTGTGCCGTTGACCATTGCCAACAACTGTCCGAAGCATGCTGTTTGACCTAAGGAAATGCCTTGAATTCACTACGGGAAACACAAAGTTCGAAGCAGTTACTGTCAAAACGTGTCCATGGGCCTTTGCTTCGGGGACGCCGATCGCGGTGCCGCACGCAAGGCAGGAAGAGGCGATACGGGCAGAGAGGAACGACTTCGAGCTCTCCAGCACCTTTCAAAGGCTCGATCTTGCCGCCCTGCTTCGACAGTATCTTGGCCGTTTCTAGCATGTAACCATTACGTAGTCCATACGAGTGCTTGTCGAAACTCCTCGCTCATGCCATCACCATGGATGATTCGATTGTGTCCTGTCGCTTCATGGACTTGTAGCAACACTTGCGCAGAGCGTGGCTTTACTTGAAGTAGTATGCTACAGTAGTCGACGTCGTCGTCGAGGTCGTGATGGAGTAGTAGCAGTAGCAGTAGCAG